ATAACGTTAAGTTTTCCTTTTGTCTTGGCTGTTGCGATTTGAACAATTGAGTTGATTTTTTGCTGATCTCAGATGGATCAAGTGAATAGAATTTAAGAGTTAAACGATTGCTGGCTAAGGGCGTTTTGACAGTTCAATTTCTTTAAGCGACAGCCCGGGGCCACATGGCAAAGGGCAAATGGCAAGCGGCAAAATGCACAACACAGGAACATCCACAACAACAAAAGCAAACAGCATCTCATAAATCATTTCGCGATGTCTATGTCGAGTATGATGACGACTGGCAATCGGGGCATCTGATTGACTACTGTCAGACGAGCGGACAGACAGTTAGACTGACAGAGAGACAGACAGAGGACAAACCTATAAACCTACAAACATACAAGCAAACAGCCATAGAAGCGGCTGTAAGCATAGACCATATATGATGCTATATGCTATATCATAGTCGCATATATATATATATATGTGTGTGTGTGTGTGTGTACCACGTGCATTTACTGTAAACGAAAGAGACACTGCCATAGAATTGATGTCGAGGGCTCAATAGATATGCTGCAGCATTCATATGCACAGTCGCCGTCTCTGCCAGTGATGACTGCGCAGCCAGCAGAGCGTAACAAATGAAATGTGACACATTATGCGACGAGGCGTATAACTGTCTTTCTCTATCTATGTGCCAATGCAGCTGTATGTATATGTATTGTATATGTGTGTGTGTGTGTGTTTGTGCGTGTGTATTAAATCAAATCGAAATGACTTTCGTACTCTATCAATGTCGAAATTATGCAATAACTTCAATTGATTACGAGTGCGTGAGTAATTTAGTACAACCAGAGCATATGACTGTATGTGTGTGTGTGAGTGTGTATATATCGGCAATCAGTGGCACCCTTGTGCGATACTGGGTCCTATATACGAGGACAGTAAAACGTTTAAAGTGTCATGTTGCGGCCTGTGACGCTTTGCTGCCTCGTTACGCGGCACTTGGCTGCCTTTTCTTACTTTATTATTATTTGCTGTTGCTGTTGTTGTTGTTGTTGCTGTTGTTGTTGTTGCTGTTGTTGCTGCTACTGTTTGCTTTGACAACCCACTTACTTAGATAGACGGGCCACCTGTCCCGTTGTTGTCCTGGCTTCTGTAAGCAAATCGCACGCATCGACATGGCTGAGAGCAAAAACCCTTCAACTTGGCTTGGTCGACGTCTTGCCACCGCTGCTGTTCCTGCTGTCGATGCTACTCTTGCTGCCGGTCCTGCTGCCGCTGCTTCTGGTGCTACCGCTGTTATCTGGCTGCTTAGCTGATGGCTCCTGGTATTTGCCTTGGCTCAGGGCCCGCATGTGTTCGCCATATCCAGTTAAAAGGATAATGGAGCACAACAATTTTTACACGCATATATTTTACAAATATTTGCATTTTTGCCTGGCTGCCTGGCTGCCTGTCAACTGAGCTAACAGGACATGGCCAGGATACCAAAAGGGGCGAGCTTGCCTCGGCTATGGAGCACATAACTTTGGCGTACCTTTTGCATTGCTTCTTTTCAAGACACATTTGCGTCGTACTTTTTGTTGCCGCTCGGGTTTTAGGCCTCAAAAGTCTCAACTGCACATAAAGGGATTGAGTACGTGTGTGTGTGCCTCTGCGTGTGTGTGCGTGTGCGTGTGCGTGTGCGAGCAAAGGATTTAGTATGTCCTCTGCTAAAGACTGTGCTTTGTAGCACATTCACAATTTTGTTAAGTGCGTGCTACGATCGCATTAAACGCCTTTTATACGCCACTCAATACGATCACAGAAATCAGATATGCATTTATATGAGCACCAAACGATATACAAATTATATGCAATTTATGACAAAGCATTGATGTGTGAGTGGATACCAAAAGAAAAGGAAACTTTTAGAAAAAAAAAAAATATTTAAAATAGATTTATACAATAGTTATTTTACTGGTTCAGGTTAGATATTGAGTTTATTTTAATACTCAAAAGCGTTGAAAAGTTCAATAAAAGTCATAGAATTCATAAATTTGTTAGTTAATAAAAATAATGGGTACAACTTAAACGAAATATGCTATATTATATCATTGTTACTCGGGATTAGTCGTAAGTCCTCCAAGCGACATGAAGAGTTCGAGGGCCGCCTTTCGCATGACCTTGCCATTGTTATTGAAGGGCAGCTTTTCAGTGAATCGAACTCCTCCATGCAGCTGCTTATTTATAGTGGGCAGACGCTTGGCCACATGACTCACAATATCGTCGTGACTGATGTCGCTGCCTGGTACCTTGACCACCAAGGCAGCGGCTGCATCCATAATTGCCTCAACGGGCACGCCCACAACGCAGACATCGCGCACCTGCGGCAGCTCTCGGATCACATTCTCGATTTCGGTGGGCCAGAAGTGAATGCCTTTATATTTGAGAACCTCCTTCTTGCGATCTACTACATGCAGCAGATTGTCGTCACTGAAGTAGCCCAAGTCTCCGGTATGGATCCAGCCCTCTGGGTCCAAAATTTCCATCGTAGCAGTGGGATTGCCGTAGTAGCCATTCCATTTGATGGCGGAACTCACATAGATCTCACCGATCTCATTGTGGCCCAGGCTATTTTCATTCTCATCCACGATGCGTATGGTCATGCCGGGCATCGGCTTGCCTGCAGCTGACGCTTTCTGGACACCGGCATTAAGTGTAATCAATCCCAGCTCTGTCATCGCGTAGGCTGAGTTAAACGTTGCATTCGGGCAGAGCTCCCGCAAACGTTTTAGAGTCACATCCGAGGCTATGCTACCGCCATAGTTTAAATTACGCAACGAGGATAATGCGCTCTGCGTGGCCTTTGGACAACTGGCCAGAGCTGCCATCTGGGATGGTGCCATGGTTATATAATTAATTTTGTACTTCTGTATCAGCTGGACAATGTTCTCCGGCGAAAAGGGCTTATTCGACAAGATGCGAGTGCTGCCGAATACCACGCAGAACATGAAAGCCCACAGTCCAGATATCCAGTCTAGTCCACTCTGTAGAAAGTAAATCGTTTCACTGTTGACAAACCTGAAATTTGCCGAATTTTTGATGATATGATGAGATTTTATAGTGCACTTCAATTTCAAAATATATCTCAGATTTACTTACAAATTATCCTGCATGAGCACACTGTTTGATATACACACGGCCTTTGGCATTCCCGTAGTACCGGATGAGCACAGAATGGCCACAGTTTGATCGCTGCCAGCCTTCAGGGGCTCAGGACTGTGAATACGATAATCTCAGTTCTGTGAATCTATTCACTATCGATGACTCTTGATTGACACTCACTGGTAGAACTTTTCCGTTGTCGTTGGCTCCAACAGACTCTGTATGCTGGGCTTACCTTCCAGGGGTTCGCTGATCGTATATACCTCAGGACTCCAACCTTTAGTGGCCTCAACAATTTTATTATATTGTTCTTTGTCACAAAATATTAACTTTGGCTTGGTTATCTCGTACATGTACTGCATAGTACCTGAACAGCAAATGTTTTTAATTATATAGGACTTACGTACACAGAATACACTCACTTTCGTCCAATACTGGATTGATGGCGTGAAACGGAGTGCCATTAAAAAGGCTGCAATTCCAATGACACTGGTGTGGTCTAGTCCTTTTTTCTTGAAGAACTGAGCTATGCGAATGGCCCATGTGAGGGCCTGTTCAAATGTTACAGTTACTCCATCGGTATCCGATATCTGTGAAGTAGATGCTTATAAAAATATAATCCTGTTTGAGGATAACGCCATTTGATGCCGACCTGGCACACGTTCTTTGGCCAGTTCTTCATGGTATTGAAGATGATACGACCAGCAGATGTATCAGAGCTGTACATGGAGCTGCGAGCTGGGGCACTCCATGTTTTACCTATGCTATTCCATTTGGATTCCATTGCTGTTGAGTTGTTCGCTCCAAGCTTTCTTTCGCGACTATGCAAAGTTTGTATTCAGAAGCTTTATTTATATATATAACTGATTGGTGACAGAATCCCCACGCGCTATCTCGTATAATTAGTTACTGAACCCCCATGAAAGCGTTATCTCGTATAATTAAGAACTATCCATTGTCTATTATAATTATCAATTAGATTATATACTTTAAAGACAAATTTTATCATCAGTTACCTAATGACGGTCTACTGCACATATGGCGATTTCATCTTCTGAGGAGTTATTATACAACTGAGTGCATAAATATAAATGTATATAAATTGCAATACTAAAAGTAGTAAGCACTATAGATACTATAGTATTGATACTCAGAGTACCATGCACGAGATCCATAAGCAGAAACGCATATATCCCAATATATAACAGATAAAATTATATAGATTAATTTTTGAGAAATATTCATACTTCAAGACTCGATCTTGACCCACCACAATACCTTTAATTGATATGTGTAGTCATAAATTTCTGGCAGTTATATGCGTTTTACGTATAGTCTTACGATTAATAATCACACTGGAAGTCTATAAATTTACGTATGTTTTCAGCAACGTTCGTTTTTTTAAAGCTATATAGTCTAGACAGGGGATATTTACTTGTGCATACCTCTATCTGTTAAAGTGTTATGTATGCTTAGATACTGGGGCCATGGCAAATCATGAACTTTTTTGAAGAGCTATTAGAAGCTATAGAACTGATAGGCTGATAATAGCTACCCAGATCAATAAATCAAAATAACCAGCAGTTATATAGTCGTACGAAGTTTCAGGTTGTCAAATTTCAAATAGAGCAGACTCTAGCCTCCTCTTCCAAAAGAATTATGATTATATTTACATCACAGTTTTCTCAAAGTCCTAGCTAATTAATCAGTTAAATGGTCGATATTGTTGAAATTTGTAGGTTCCGAACGAACCAGCTATTTGGCAGAATCTCGATTTTTTGTACTTCTGTCTTTGCCAGAGACATAAAGGAATATAGGTAGATTGACACTACTATAGTTTTATACACCATAAAATTAATACGATTTCGTTTAAGTTCTTATGAGTGAATACTTCCATTTTATTGAAAATACAATACATTTCTCGAGTATCCTACGAGCTTGCAAAATCACTTAATTTTAGTTTTTAGTCCATTAATTGAAATACGCCTAGTGAAAGTCTAATCAAATTAAATTGTGATAAACTGAAGTGTAGCTAAGCCATCCTTATCTCAATAAAAGATTTTTGTAATCGAATTCAAACTGATTATTTTTTATTTATGTTTAGTTTCCTTTGGTTGTTGTCGCTTCCAGTGACTTATATAGTTCACGTGCCGCAATTCGCATAGTCTTCCCATTGCTGTTGACGGGCAGCTTATCAGTGAATCGAACACCGGCATGTAGATGTTTATGTGTGGCGACAAACCGTTTGGCTACGTGATTCATAATTTCTTCTTGGGTGATGTTGCCGCTTGGACTTTTAACCACCAATGCGGCGGCCACATCGCCAAGCACATCATCAGGTATGCCCACAACGCAGGCATCATGAACTTGCGGCAGCTCCTTGATCACATTCTCGATTTCATTGGGCCAGTAGTGAATTCCTTGGAATTTAAGCATTGCCTTCTTGCGGTCAATTACATGTAGTAAGTTGTCATCATTGAAGTAGCCCAAGTCCCCGGTATGGATCCAGCCATCACTGTCCAGAATTTGGCTTGTGGCCTCGGGATTGTCATAGTAGCCGTTCCAGTGCATGCCTGTGTGCACAAGGATCTCGCCGACCTCATTGTGAGCCAGGTTTTTTCCGTCGTCATCTACGATCCGTATTTTCATGCCAGGCATAGGCTTGCCGGCAGCTGATGCATTCTGCACACCTAGATTAAGGGTTATCACTCCCACCTCGGTCATCGCGTAGGCTGAGTTGAACGTCGCATTCTTGCACAATTCCCTCATGCGCTTTAGAGTCGCATCGGAAGCAATACTCCCGCCGTAGTTCATATTACGTATTGAGGACAGAGCATCGGGATTAGCAATGGGGCTAGTGGCAAGGACGGCCAATTGAACAGGTGCGAGAGTCATGTAAGTTATCTTGTATTTCTGCACTAACTGCACGATGTTCTCCGGGGAAAAGGGCTTATTCGATATGATGCGAGTGCTTCCGTATACCACACTGAACATGAAAGCCCACAGTCCAGTAAGCCAATCCAGACCACTCTGAATGAAGAAAACCGTTTCGCTGTTGACAAGCCTGTGAAAGATTTAGTAAAATTAATTAATGTTGATTATGTTTCAAATAATTTGAAAGTCCGAATCTTTATCTATATCATATTATTACAGTATGTGTAAAATATACTATCCAGTCCAAAATTGATATAATGTATTTCGGTTTATGGTTAACTTACAAGTTATCCTGCATGAACACATTATTTGATATACACACGGCTTTCGGCATTCCCGTTGTTCCGGATGAACAGAGGATGACGGCAGTTTGATCGCCACCACATTTCAAGGGCTCCGGACTGTGAATATAATTTTAGTAAACAAATCTATTCACTGTTGTTGACTCTTGATTGACACTCACCGGTAGAACATCTCCGTTGTCGTTGGCTCCAACAGACTCTGTATGCTGGGCTTACCTTCCAAGGGTTCGCTTATTGTATATACCTCAGGACCCCAATCCTTAGTGGCTTCAATAACTTTATTATATTGTTCTTTGTCACAGAATATCAACTTCGGCTTGGATATCGTGAACATGAACTTGATAGTTTCTATTTAATAAAGATATTGATTGTAAATCAGGCATTAAAATACGCAGAGTAGACCAACCTTCTTCAAAAAGTGGACTTATAGCGTGAAACGGTGTGGCATTAAATAAGCAGGCCACGCCCAATGGCATGAGATAAGTAGTATTTGCAGCTGCAATTCCAATGACGCTCGTGTGGTCTAGTCCTTTTTTCTTGAAGAACTGAGCTATGCGAATGGCCCACGTGAGGGCCTGTTCACAAGTCACGGTCACTCCATCACTATCTGATATCTGCGAAAGAGCTGGTATTAAGAATTTGATTCAGTTTTAATGAAGTCCATTTGATGCCCACTTGTATAACATTCTTTGGCCAGTTCTTCATGGTATTGAAAATGATACGACCTGCAGATGTATCGCAGTCATACATGGAGCTCCTACGAGATCCACTCCACGTTTTGTCTAGGCTATTCCAATTGCTTTCCATTGATGTGGAGTTGATTATTAAATAGTATTCCTTGTCACTGCAAAGCTTCGTAGGCGACTATGCAAAACTTTCGACTATTACCTCTTCTTATATTGCAAATTGACTGGAGAAAGAAAAGTGTTATCTATTATTTTAATTATAAATTAGACTATATACTATATGAGACAAGGTATTTTCAATGGAATTATTTTTGCGTGGATGGAAGAACGGGTAGATGGATATCCAGATGGATAATAAGACGGACAGACGATGGACAGACGAAAAAGGCTGCTCAGTTCGCCGTCCCGATCAATAGACCATATATATTTTATGGGGTCGACATCTTCAGACTTCTTTAGGGTATATTGAGAAAAATGAAATTCTAAAAAAATTTATATAAATATTGCAGAAAATACCCTGCCACAATTTGGAATAAGTAGTATAATCTTTACGTATTTTCTTAGTCGTATGACCGATTTATAATTATTCAGGAGTCAATAAATTGTATATGTGATAAGTCCCATTGTTCATTTTTTATAGCTACAGAATCAAGACACCTGCTTGTGCTTTCCCTTATCTACGAAAGTGGTATGATTTTTTTTTTCTTTTGCAGGCATGCAAGCTTTAAAAATTATTAAAAAGAGACATTGGACGCCATATACGTAAAATTTTAGATATTTATTAGTGACGCAATTCCGTTATTCAGATGCGTGAATAGCCCACATTCACACTGTTTGAGTGCTCGAAGTTGAGTGAGGAGTTTCGGGCTAAGTCACCATTTCATAAAGCCATTAGACCATTAGAGCTACCTAGTCTAAAAGAATATATTCGATTTTGGTCAATTTTTTTCACATAATGCTTTATTCGATACGATGCATCTCTAAAGTATTCGCCATATGTGAAATACAACTTAAATTTAAATTATTGATTACTTATCTTAATAAAAGATGTTTGCAATTGAATTAAGACTGATTATTTTGTATTTATGTTTAGTTTCCTTTAGTTGCTGTCCCACTCAGTGACTTATATAGCTCTCGGGCTGCGATTCGAATTATCTTTCCATTGTTGTTGACGGGCAGCTTATCAAAGAATCGAACACCGGCATGTAGATGTTTATGTGTGGCGACAAACCGTTTGGCCACATGATCCGAAATATCCTGTTCCGTAATGTTGGAGCCCGGTACCATCACCACCAATGCGGCGGCCACATCGCCAAGCACATCATCAGGTATGCCCACAACACAGGCATCGCGCACCTGTGGCAGCTCCTTGATCACATTCTCGATTTCCGTGGGCCAGTAGTGAGTGCCTTTGAATTTAAGCATTGCCTTCTTGCGGTCGATAACATTTAATAAATTGTCGTCATTGAAGTAGCCCAAGTCTCCGGTATGGATCCAGCCATTAAAATCCAGTATCTGGCTTGTGGCAACGGGATTGCCATAATAGCCGTTCCAGTGCATGCCTGTGTGCACAAGGATCTCGCCGACCTCATTGTGAGCCAGGTTTTTTCCGTCGTCATCCACGATCCGTATTTTCATGCCGGCCATCGGCTTGCCAGTGGCTGATGCATTCTGCACACCCACATTTAGCGTAATCACTCCAGCTTCGGTCATCGCGTATGCCGAGGTAATTATCGCACTCTTGCACAATTCCTTTATGCGTTTTAACGTTGCATCGGAAAGAATACTACCACCGTAGTTCACATTACGCAATGAGGACAGGGCGTAGGGCTTGGCTGCAGGGCTAGTGGCAAGGACGGCCAATTGAACAGGAGCCAAGGTTATATAATTGATCTTATATTTTTGCACCAAGTGCACAATGTTCTCAGGGGAAAAGGGCTTATTCGATATGATGCGAGTGCTGCCGAATACCACGCAGAACATGAAGGCCCACAGTCCCGATATCCAGTCTAGTCCACTCTGTAGAAAGTAAATTGTTTCACTGTTGACAAGCCTGTGAAATGAAATCGAAGGATAAATGAGTAATTCGTTGGCTGAGAATTATAACAGTCAAGTCCGGTTATATAAATCTATTCCGAAAAACTCTCGTAGAAATTAGTATGTATCGGGAGACATTATTTCCCATCTTCATAGTCTTACATTAGATTCCAATTAATAGTGAAAACATCACGTGAACACTTTTTTTAAACTTACAAATTATCCTGCATAAACACACAGTTGGATATGCACACGGCTTTCGGCATTCCCGTTGTTCCAGATGAACAGAGAATGACCACGGTTTGATCTCCGCCAGTTTTCAGGGGTTCCGGACTGGGAATATATCTTTTGTAAGCAATTCTATTCACTATTGTTGACTCTTGATTTACACTCACCGGTAGAACTTTTCTGTAGTCGTGGGCTCCAAGAGACTCTGTATGCTGGGCTTACCTTCCAAGGGTTCGCTTATTGTATATACCTCAGGACTCCAACCCTTAGTGGCCTCGACAATTTTATTATATTGTTCTTTGTCACAGAATATCAACTTCGGCTTGGTTATCTCGAACATGAACTTTATAGTTTCTATATAGAAAGAAAGTTTGACTAGCAGTCAGGGATGAACGTTCATGGAATAGACGCACCTTCTTCAAAAAGTGGACTTATAGCGTGAAACGGTGTGGCATTAAATAAGCAGGCCACGCCCAATGGCATGAGATAAGTAGTATTTGCAGCTGCAATTCCAATGACGCTCGTGTGGTCTAGTCCTTTTTTCTTGAAGAACTGAGCTATGCGAATGGCCCACGTGAGGGCCTGTTCACAAGTCACGGTCACCCCATCACTATCTGATATCTGTGAAATAGTTTTTTTTTTTCTTATTTAATACGACTGTCCTTTAGGAAAAGTTCATTCTAACGCACTTGCAACACTTTCTTTGGCCAATTCATCATGGTATTGAAAATGATACGACCCGCAGAAGTATTATAGTCGTATATGGAGCTCCTAGGAGATCCACTCCACGTTTTATCTACGCTATTCCAATTGCTTTGCATTTTGTTTTGAGTTAACCAGTAACTAGGATTATTAATCGCTTCAAAGTCTCGCAACCGACTATAGAACATTTTCATTCAATACCTTTCTTTATACCATTTTTAAAGTAAGAGCTTTTTGATTTACTACCCACTTAACTTTCAGTTTTACTTATCAGCAAGAAATTGTAGTATACTATTCCAAACTATCAGAGGTGAGTGCTCTTTTTTTCTGATTAGCTATAATGCCATATATATATTCGGATTTACATCGTTTTGTATTGTGCATTATTTATTTATTTATTTTTATAATTTTTTATCTCTAGAATCTGCTGATAGGTTCTGATTATAATTTTTATAATCAGAATCTTTCTTTAATCTTAAAGTTTGCACATGTACATTGTGGTAATGAGTACGTTAAGTGTTGCTCATCAATAACATTTCTATTACTTAACTAAAATCAATTCAAAATTGCAGTATACTTGGATTTACTATTTTCAAAGGACAAGTAACAATGTAGTTTTAGTAGTTTAAGTTTCCAAGACTGTTACTACCTAAGGACGGTCTGAGAGATGGACAAATTCATCTAGTCTTTAAGGACTATATTACACCTTACACGATCCTGGCATGGATAGTCGACAGAACAAAAGAACTTATGAATTCATATTCATTTCCATCATTTTAATTCAGTATTAAACAAAAAAAAACTAATCAAACCGTCAGAAGACCATGACATTCTAAGAGAGAGGTGTGATGGGGAGATAATAAGGTTTTCTAATCAATACTACTCTATACTTATGTGTTAATACATTTTCTTACATTCTAATTATGTTCGTTTACGATATTTCTTATTATCTACAACATTTAGTTTTAACTCTAGTGTTACATTTTTGTTTTCATTATAATTTTATAATTCTTTCATTTTGTTTTGTCTTACTTCATTTTTGGATTTTGTATAATTTCTTTCATTCAATTAACATATAAATTCATTATAATTTAAATATTTCCAACTACATTTATGCAAGCATATTATAGTTTATGTTTATGTTTTTTCCATATTTCTTATTTACTTTTGTTTAAGTCTATCAGAGTTAGATTTTAGAGAGCTTTATATTTTTCTTGCTTTCTTATCATTCAATTACTTACACAGCGTTTTTATTGTTTTTATATATATATCTGCATACCGTTGTATTCCTGGGCCCAAGATGACGATAGCATGTTGATTTTAGCTGCTGGGGTTAAAACATTATAAATAAAAATATAAAGGCCTCTCGATTTAATTATCTCTTCATAGCAGCGCACGTAGTCTGCTCTGGCTACCTTCGCTGTGTTCCTGCATTAGCGCATCAGCTGACGCAATGCTCTACCTTCCGTCGGGTCCTTACTTAACTTATGTATTTGGGCAAGGCCAAGATCTAAATGAGGTTGTCCTACGTCATGGAGTAGGTTGTTTTAGAGATCCCGATTTCTTTATTTCTGGTTGTTGTGGGTGGAGTCTCTCTTTTGGCCGTTAATGAAATCCTACGCCGTCGAGAGTTAGCTCCGTGCCGGTGAGGGTATCTTGTCTTCGTGGTAGGTTAATCTGCTGCGCCGTCAGGTCTTTTATTTTATCGCTGCGTGCCATTGACCGCACGAGTCATATAAAAAAAACCAACTACTCTTTCGCAGTCTTTGCTTTGGTGATAGCTCAAGCTATTGAGCTAAATCACCTAAATTAATGAATAATTAGCGAATTACAAACACTAGTACTTTAACGTACCTATTGCCAAATCACTACACACTTATTTAAATGGTTTGCTGCTCGTACTATCCACGAATATAATCTTTTTGTGTAGTATAATAATTCACCCACGTTTTGCTTTTAATTTAATATATGATCTGAACGTCGCGTCTGCTATCGTCAAAGATTTTTTCAATTATGATCGGCAGCTTAGCTAATCACGCTGGATTAATTGGCGCTAAGCGCAGCCGCGCGATCATCTATTCTTCGTCTGCTTGCGGTACAATCGTACGATTAGAGAGAGAGAGAGAGAGAGAGAGAGAGAGAGAGAGAGAGAGAGAGAGAGAGAGAGAGAGAGAGAGAGAGAGAGAGAGAGAGAGAGAGAGAGAGAGAG